TCTGACCCCTCCACCATGCCTCCTGCACTGGGGAACACCTCTGATCCCTCCACCATCCCTCCAGGCTGGCTGACACAAGGTACAAAAGATCTCTGCCTGCACGGGGGACCCTTCTGGTATGACTGACGCCCCAATATTCTCTGTAGGATTGGAGGAAGCCTGTCTCCAACAGAGACCAATTCCTTGCTTCACTTTTCCCACCTCCCGGTCCTGGTCTGGCTTCTAGAGAACTCAACTTGGGACGGCTTCCAATTACTCATCTCCTAGACGTCGAGAGTAGCATATGGTTTGTTCTTTTTCCTTCTCATCCTTCCCCAAATCTAGGACTGTAAACTGTTAACTTCTTCTTGTTGCTCACATGCCTTAAAATTTAAATGACAGATATTATGGAGCACAACTTTTAAAAGCAACTACTGGGGCAACCTAAATAACTGAGGACTTTTTAATGTGTCTTCTTAGCAAAACTTTATTTTTTGCTAAAAAGCCCTACGCCCTGGCCGAGGCACTTCTGCAATGCTTTCTTTTTCCACCAACGGTTCCTTGATTTGGGGCCTAACAGTAGTGCTGAGGTGGGCGGGAAGAAAGACAGGTAATGATAGGTCTGTCAGCCAGAGAGTGAGAAAGTTTCATTTAGACCAACAATTACGGTAATTTGAGGAAAGGGTTCAGGGTTTAGAGCAGGTGTGTCCAGCCCGCAGCCCATAGGCTGCATGCTGATTTTGAGAGGACTTTTTTTGCTTGTCTGTGGTGTCAGTTATCAAGAAAAGGATGCACAGGGTGGTGCCTGTGGCTCAAAGGAGTAGGGCACCAGCCCCATATGCCGGAGGTGGTGGGTTCAAACCTAGCCCGGCCAAAAACTGCAAAAAAAAAAAGAAAGAAAGAAAGAAAGAATGAAAGAAAGAAAGCAAGCAAGCAAGCAAGCAAAGGATGCATGGACCTTTTGTTGGTTTTTTGCTAATCAGCTTTCATTAGTGTGTGCCCCAAGACAACTCTTATTCTTCCAATGTGTAGCCAAAAAGAAAAAAAGTCGGACACCCGTCACTTAACTGCTGAGTGACCTTGGCCAAGGTATTTATTCTCCCTGAAATAACCCAACTGATCTTAGATGGAAGGTAGAGAGTGACAGGGCACCAAGCAGTGGCTGGCCTAGAGGCATTTGAAAGCAAGGATGTGTATACCCGCCATGCTGGTGACAGCATAATCCCATCAATATTTGTTGAATGAACAAATAAATTAGCTATTTTCTACCAAGAACTTTAATGTTCATCCTAATTTTTATGAACTTAAATCACATTTTAACTGTAAGACATAACTGCTTGTGAGATACACCATTGATTTAATGTTTTTAAGAGTCACGTTAAATGTACTACACATTATTTGAAAAAAATTCTGATCTCAAGAAACATTAAAATGCATTTTAAAAGCTTCGGAATTGAGGACATGTGCTACATTCATGTTATCAGCCCTTCGTCATTCCCATGGGTAGAAGTATTTCCCCCAATTCATTCACTTCTTAGTTTCATAATATACTTTTGATACCAGAAATATGAAGTTACTGTGTAGCCTGTCAATCATTTTATGGAGTTTCTTTTAGATTTGCTATTATTACCTTCCACACCCCCACATAATTTTGTTCTAATTTATGGCTCCATTTTGCACACTTCTTAGTCTTCCTGAACCGTACGAAGTGAGTTATGAATTAAAATTAATTTCCTTCCAGTAGTTTATTACTTCAAAACCACATCTATAAGCCACTCGTCCCCCGTTTACTTGTTTCAGTCACATGTTCTTTGCTCCATCTGTTTCTATTTGCTCACTGTTTTTCTTCATAGCGTGTTCACTGCCAGACATTTTATCTTATTTACTTATTAGTTCTTTTCTTGCCTATCTGCTTTTCCTGCTGTAAGCCCCAGAGAGCAGAGATCTCTGCTTCTCTGCAGCAGCTGCAGACGCACAGCATGGGGGGGCATTACGTCACAGGGGATCAGTCCGTGTTTCAAAGAATGGAGGAAAATGTAGATAAACGATGTAAACAGCCACTGTGATACACACTGAAGGGAAAAAAATAGCTCCCCCCCCATCCCCAGGGGAGATGTTCCAACACCCCGCTGGATGCCGAAACCACAGATGGCAGTGAGCCCCGCGGATGCTGTTTTTTGTTGCACATGCATACTTATGATGAAGTCTAATTTATAAATTAGGCACAGTTAGAGAGTCACAACAACAGTAATAGAACAATTATAACAATATGCTATAATAAAACTTATGCAAACGTGGTCTCTCTTTCAAAATTCTATGATATTTTTGGGGTCAGAGTTTAATTGGAACCAAGGAAAGTGAAGCTGGGGACGGTGGGGTAGCGGGTAGGGGGTGGGTGGGTATAGTGTGCCAATGAGCCGGATGCTCTTTGGAGAAGCTTACAGACAGACAGAGCAACCTCTCTGAGAAGGTGACATTTGAGCTGGGACTCAAAGAATAGGAATGAGCCAGGTATATGAAGGGAAGCCAGAGGAAGGCAAGGGCCCGCTGGCAGCCTGGGAATGTGCAAGGAACAGAGGGAAGGCAGTGAGAGAAGCAGAAGGTGAGTTTGGAAAAGTGGGGACTGCTAAGCGCATTCTGGGTTGCAGTGAAGAGTGTGTCATTTGTTGCGAGGGCAGTGGGAGCCGATGGAGGAGCTGGGCAGGGGTGGAACAGAGGCTCATGCTGGCCAGAGTGACGGAAGCAGACGGAGGAGCGAAGGGAGGTGCAGGAGTCAGGGTTCCGCTGCAGACCAGGCCAGGGAGGTGGGGCCTGGACTGGGGCAGTGGTGCAGAGAGAGACGCAGAACAATGGAGGAGCACTTGGGATGGGTCTGGTGATGGACTACACGGACGGCATGAGGAAGGGAAGAACCTGATGGTGACTATCGAGCTTCTGGTTTGAGTCCCTGGCCAAGCTTTGTGGCTAGTGACTGGGCAGGGGAGATGGTGGGGAGGGAAAAACAAGGGCCCCACTGGGAACTCATCCTGGGGTGGAGAATTCCAAATACAGACGTCAAGCAAGATGGCTGCCGTCATCGGTCTGGAGCCCAGGTGGCCGTGTGGGTGGTGGATTCACATTTGGGGGTCATAGGTACAGAGACAGTATTTAAAGGCAGGGGATTGAACAAGCTCATCTAGAAAGGACAGAGATAGAAAGGAAAAGAACCCAGGATTTGGCCCTGCAGCACATGAGGAATGAATGTAAACACGCTAGGGACATGACAAGCTTTCCAAGTCGCTCAGGTGTCGTGACCATCCGCAGCTTGGTGTCAATGGCTAATGAGTATTCTTCTGGTCACGTCACTCCCAAATACAGTCACATCTGCAGCCAAGACTAGGCAGATC